CTGGGAATGATGTTAAGTTTTACTTAAAGTGCTCTCATTTAAATTCTTCTTATTTCATGCATTGATTACTGAATAAATATTGTCATGCTTTTCTTTTTTCATTTAACTATTATTTTTACATTATATATTCTATTTATTATTCATCTATTTCCCATTGGTTTCGTCTGAATCTGAGCTTAGTTTGACATCATCGTCGCTTAAATTGGCCAGATAATTGGAAGTACCCGAAGAAAAAAATGAGCGCAAATTCATTGACATTTAAATCAAAGAAATGTCAAGTACTATGCAAAAAACACATTACTAAACAGCAGGTCCACACTAGGAGACACACTTCCCCCTCACGAACCCATACAATTATACTTAGTTATCTCAGATTCAGGGTATCGCTACGTGTCGGATCGAAACAATTATGAAAATAAGTATGATCAATGAATATCCCTTCTGAGGCAATGAGAATTTGATCTAAGTACTAACTCTCGTCATAATATTTTACTATTTCAAGTAGAAACACGAGGATTAGTAGAGAGTTGTGGAGGATTATGAGTCGAATATATTTGGTCAGAACAATGACTCGGAAAAACAAGAATAAATAAATGACACTTTCATTGCATTCGATTTAACCTTAAGTTTTCATACATTCTCTTACGTGGGACGAATGTGTATAATTATTTTGCTAAAGGTTCCCAGGAGAAAAGCTCGTAGCTGTAACTAGAATATAATTGTAGAGAAATGTTTTATCACCTAAATAGTGAAAAGCTCCTGTGATTTTGTTTTGAAATGAATGTGAGACTTTGATTCTGTTTTCAATATCAAAATTGACCGAAACAATACATCTGGCCTACTGGAAGGGGTGACTGTTCGACGATGTTGAAAGTTTCGCGAAAAATAATACAATGTCTATTCTCGACAAATTTTGTTGATTCGGAAACGGCAAATGATATGAAAATAGCTAGACTGCTTAGTTTGTGAAAGTATGCTATCTGTAATGGAGAGTGGCGAAAGTATAAAACTTTGAAATAAAAAATGCGAGAAACTGATACATTCACCTCGTGTGTCGGTATCTCTTTCTTCAAAATGCAATTACCCCATACTCATCTTCCCTCGTTCATTTTAGAGAGGCTTCTTTTCGTTACTGCTCACGTATCGATAAGTAGCCGACGAATAGCATAATGAAACAATACTACGGACGAGTAAACTATTTTTCTCCTATACTTATCTCTTTTCGTTTCAAACATTTCCTAAGCTATTCCAATATTGCTTGCTTCTCTCTTGCAATTCGCTTGCTACATATACTTCGTTTCATCTTGAATAAGTTGCTTTGAGTTTCATTTTCTCATTGTGTTGAGTCTTTTTAAACGAGGTTATTTTAATTGAATTATCTTTTCCTACTCAATCAAGTGGAGAGTGTGAAGTGTTAACAAAATGAGTTCATTTTGTTACCGTTCAGGTTTACAAAAAAGACAATGGTCACAAACTGGTGAAAAGTGAACAGCCTACTCCACCTTTTTCAAGCTGCATAGATAATATTTTAACATGGTTCAGGATGAATGAAGATAATATGTCACTCTTTTGAAGTACCGAGTCTGTTCTTGCCGTTTCTAATCACGATTTTATGAGTTTGAACGATATCACAATGAGGACATTTTTGATACCGTTTAACTATTAATTCAGTACATGTATAATTTATACATAAATTTTTTGCAATCTTGTGGAAATTTCTTCAAAATCACGAAGAAATTTTCTTGAATTATTTGGTACTGTAGTGTTTGCTCCTCGAGATAGTTGCACTGAGAGTGATTAGCAATATGATATGAATCTTTTTTATTTCCGATAAAACATAAATCATCAATGACTGCATTTATTAATCCTGGCCACGCAAGAATAACTAGAAAACACTCCAAAAACTCCAGTTAACATGAGCCTGAAACGTGCTATTAAAAAAACAACTTGATCTAATCGATATACACTCGTTTCAAAGACTTGTAGAAATAGTCACAACAAATGCAAAAAGTTGAAAATGCTACCATTTTTGAAAAGAATATGTGTTTGAATAATATTGTCAATATTTCAAAATCGAGAATCATTTGCTGAATACTCAGAACCGTCGCTGATATGTGTTTCCCAATTGCTTGATAGCCACAATGCACGCTTGGCGAAATGATTTCGAGGCTAATGTATACAAGATGAATGTAATCTATAAGGAAACAATAATAGAATTATAATTGCTTTAAAAAAACAAAGAAACATACCGAGGCGTACGTAAACAGTAGATTAAGGCCAATTCTACCAAGAAACAAAGTCATCATTTGTTGATTGATGTTCATCATGGCTTGAGCACCTGCTAAGAATGAGTAGAGAGGAATAATCGACCAGACCGAATTGAGCATTAAATAGAACGTAACTTGAAGAAGAGATAATCGAACAAGTTGCATATTTCCTTTAAATCGTTGATATGAAAATTGTGCATTTGACGTGACAGTGGACTGTATTTGACTCCGACTTGCATCAGTTTTTGTTGGTTGAATCTGACGCATTAAGCGTGAGCGTACATTGAACACAGTCAAAAGACTGAATATACTCATGATAAGCATTGGAGTCATTGATGCGATAATACTTTCGACTGAGACGAAAAATTCATAAGTGGAACCAAATGGTGGTGTACATTCAACTGGATTAGTTTGATATCCTATGGCTGCATGCAGACTGCTTATTGTAAAAAAAGCAATACCAATAATAATCAACCATCGAGCTACACGAGATGAACTCTGTTGACGAATCCATGCATTAGATGAAGTTACCATCCATCGATCGATTGAAATTAAACAGAGAAAATATCGTGAGAGCAGAAGAGTTAATTCAGTTGCATATGCACGTAATTTGCAGAGAATAGAAATGTAACGAAAAACGTTGTCACCAGTTGAAGTAATAATTATACGAGGAAGACAGAATGAATCCAGCAGAAGGAGATGAGCTATGGACAATGAAATAAAATACCATGAGCAAACGTTTTTTCGTAGATCGCGTTGTAGGAATATCCAAATATTGACCGTATTGCCGATATTACCAAGTACAAGAATAACTGGTTCTTCATATCGAATAATTAGGAGTTGAATTTTACTGAATTGACTGATAAGCGAGAAACTCATCGTTGGTTCAGAGAAAATGAAAATGAGTTTTCTACTTTATACTGATATTGATAAATAATCGTCGGTTAAACATAATTGAAGCACATGCTGGATGTCATAAAGTACTTCAAAGAAAAAGTGTGAACTTGGCAAGCTGCTATTCTTACGAGCAAAAACTAATTAGCGACTTGCTAAAAAAATATTTTCTTCGCACAAGCTCATCAACTAGTTAGAAATAGGCTAAAAAAAGAGTTGAAATTAACTGTCAATACAATTTCGTCGTGATTAATATGTAAAAGTAATTAAATAGTTTTCTTCGTCGCACAATAATGCTCAGACCATACCACTGTCTGCTGTGCTCAGGAAACGGAGGAAATACTCAACTGTCTTGCGCACTCATGAGTGATGACATAGAAAATGACGCAAGACTTCACTTTATTGTATTTTTACAAGTGAATTGCTGATGCAAATAGATGGAGAGCAGCATTCGGAACCAAAATACCGACTATCCTCATGTTATTGCTTATCGAGCAAGAAGCCACAGTGCTGAAATGGTCGTCCAGTTTATCTTGAAAGACGACACATTGAATTTCATGACTCTTACTAATCGTCAAGGTCGACAACATGAGTGAGTGTGGATGATGATATTAATCTTCCCCTTCACCCACATCTCACTCATATTCCACATGTCGCGCATCCACATTACTCATCTTTCTCAAAAGTCAACTTATGTCTAATTGGTAGTTTTTTTCTAGCTCCATTCATTGCAAGAAGAATTGAATTAAAAACTGAATATTGAAGAGGTCGAAATAATTTTGCAAAAATGGACAAGTTTTTTTTTGGAGGGGAGGGGCGCCCTGCAGAATTAAAGAAGAAAACCTCTTGAACATGTTTGTGTTTTTTTTTATAGAATAAACAATTGAGTAGAGTCTCTTTGTCTTTTCATTAATGATATGAAATATTTCAATCAAACAGTTCAAATAAATTTATACTAAGAAATATCTGATGTCTTGTATCTTTTGATAAAACTTTCATTATTTTTATTTCACAAAAGAATGGAGAAAAATGCATATATGTACAGAAGAGGATATATAGTTTTAGAGAAAGATTTCTTTTTATATTAAGTATAAAAGATAAGAAATAAAATAATTGAAAAATTTATTTGATTAGTGGAAAAATTGTGTTTAGATTTGCAAAATAAACTTACACTCTCTGTATTAATAATGAAACAATTTGTTGTTGTATTATAAAGAGTTAAATAATTATCATCGAAGGGTTACCTGAAACATTTGATCATCGGCTGCAGACCTGCAGAACCTATTCATGTGCATTCATGCTTGGAGCAGATAATTTTAGTCAAATTATTGTTCAAATGAAAACTTTTTTATGTAGAAAATTAGTTAATAAAGTTTTTCTTCCGTAGCAATCAGAATACAATGTTCATACAGAAATTGTATGATTAATTTCTCAACAGAGAACAACTGAGCTGCTTTTTGTTCAATTTCTTTCACCATTCCATAGATTTTTTTCTTCGACATGCATGTATTCTATTTTACGTTTTGTTTTATTTTACTATGTCCTTCAAATATGGACGATAATAGAGCATTTCGTGTATTTGCGTCGCTGTTTTGTTTTCCTACTCAACACAACAGATTATTGACTACCAGCTGCAACGAAACCATCAAAGACAAGGTAACAAGTTAGAATACTTTGTTATGCCTGCTCGCTCTCATTCTCAGCTTCAAACTTCTATCTTCAATCTAACCTATCCGTCTAAACCTTATTATCGGCTCATTCATCTTATCTTCGATGGTTTCACTACGGTTTGAGACAACTATTACCAAGTGTACAATATGTAACATGAACACTTTTATGCCTTGGCTCAATTATGATAAATTGTTTTTCGAATCATCAAGTACTGAGACTATCAGTTCTATTCGATGATTGATGAAACTAATTCATTTTTCACGTAACGTTATTTTGATTGCGTCGTTTCTTTGTTTCTCTCTTGTTTTTTTAAAATACGTATATGAATCTTTAAAAAATAATTTATTTTGTTTTGATGTTTCGAGAAATTTTTCATTTCAGCAGCAGATTGTTGAAATCTGATCGGCTAAGCCATTTATAGCAAATGACGAAACAGATTAGACTTTTGATAATTGAATACCAAGTCATCACTACATATACTGACTGAACAACTTGAATTAGTTGAAAATATATTTCCAATTGTTCCACAATTGTTTGAATCGATCATTATATTGGGACATATCCTTAACACAGTTGTCATATGAGCTTAAATACAATTGATTATATAAAATCAAAATTCAAATAAAGATTTTCATATAATACCAATATCAAAAATGAATAGTTTAAATAGAAAACAAAACCAAAATATGACATCTATAAATAATTATCTTTTAGTTTTGACGAAAATTTCATATTCAATAAAAAATAGTATTACTTTCTTTATCCTAGAGAATATATTAAAATCGATTTTCTCGCATAGAATTTAAATAATTGACTGAAATTGTTTTTTTTTTCAAATTGATGAAATCTTATTGAACCATTTCTTTTGACTGAAGTTAATTAGAAGAAATTGAAATTGACATGAAATATTTTCTTAGCAGTGAAAAATCAAGTTTCAATATATTTCAACACTAAATCAAATTGATTATAATCCGACTTATCATATCAAATTTTCCCACTGGCAAGGTACATCCGTTAATGAAAACAACTTGCTTTTTATGAATGACAGATCCGGTGCTTGTTTGACTTTCCGATCTAGTTNTCAGTGAAAAGTTTTCTGGAAAACTTTTTTTGGAAAATTTCTTTTGAAAATTTGACATGTATTGTATTCGATAGAGAATTTCAAGGGCTATTCAAATCATTATTTGTATTTGACCTAGCTACTTGTCTTCGTCGAAAAATTTTCAAAAATAAAGTGTTCTATATTTATGTCCACCACTTTATATATAGAGAGAGTGAGGGAGATAGTTTCACCGTCGGTATACCGGTGTTAGCTCAAGTAAATATACGACATGGGTGATTTTACGTGAAAGAACATTGCAAATACTATGTGTGCGAAGAAAACGACATCACTCCATACACAGGGTTTTAACATAAAAAGCATCGATTAAGCGAATTTCCTATAAAATCTAATCAAGTAAAACTTTATTCACAAATATTTCCAAACACATCGTTAGATAGAGCTCTAAATTCTGAATAAAATTAGATGCATTGTAAATCGTTCAACCTACAAATGGCTGGACTAGAGGCTTGGCAAGATTTTCATATGTTAAATTCTCCATATCAGTTTCTAACAGGGCGTTTATAGTGACTTTTAGTATTATCACTGTCAAATTTCAACAGTAGATTCGAATATGTTATTAATACTTTATCTTCAAAGAATGTTGGGACTTTAACGGAAAGACTAGAAAATACTCAGCTAGTAGTTTTTATCAAAAGTCACTAGATGGTTAAGTCGTTGCTGTTAGGAAATCTTGCTTCTTGTCGCATGATCACCAAGTAGTGGCTTAAGATATATTTAGATTCTGTCTACACAACATCGAGTTACACTCAAAAATATGGCTGCTGATTCAATAAAAATTGCTATTCGAAAGTTAGAAGAAGCTTTTGTTCCGGGTGTTGATTTCTTCCTGGATGACAATGTTGGTCATGCATTCGAGACTCTCTGCAATTGCCTGAAAGAAATCACTACTACGCCTGAATCGTACTCTAGCGATGAGAAGCATCAATTGGTTGCGCAACTGAAACAGTTTCAAATCAATATACTCCGTGAGCTGCTCCTGTGGTTCACGCCGTCGATTCCAGCATCAGTTCTGAATAATCTTTTCAACACCATTCTTTATCAAATCCAGATCGAGATGGTAATGAATGAAAGCGTTAATGATATCTACTTTGATGCATCACTCAACTGTTTAACCACCGATGTCATTATCGATTATTTATTTGAAGTTCGACAAAGTACTCTTGTTGATGAGCACTTTCTTCGTATGCTTTGCACTATTGGTTCTTGGGCGATGTGGAACAGATTAAAAAGATCCCATTCAATCAGCGTCAAGTGGAAAAATAACACGACATTTTTTCAATTGACTAATGAAACCGATCGTCTCCTGCGAGGAATTCTCACTTATTTAAATCGTCATTTTCGGGAGAATCCAATGAGTAGTACTCAGGCTGTGGTTTTTACCTGGACTCAAAGTATCATGGATGTCATTCCATTTGTGCCATTCTTTGTCAAAACAGGCTATCCAGAAGCAGCTCTAGAATGGTTATCCATTGAACCAAATGAGCCGATGATCAGCATTAGATCATGGCGTGAAAGTCTTGATTTTGTTCACAATCTTGCTCGTCACGAATCGGGCGTAAAAGCATTGAATCAATTGGGAGCTATTTCGATTCTCAAAACATGGAAAGGACGCTACCTTTCTGAATCAACATTATCGAATGACGAAAATTATGAAGATTTACGCGTAGTCTATTATATGAGCTATGCCTTATTACTTGAACCGACATTACTGAAACGAGAACACCCAATGGACCTTCAACTCGCTCTCGATGATATTCTTGATCGAGCAGTTCAAGCATTTCAGTCGACTTCTCTCCACTATGGTCCATATCATGTATCTGAATTTTGGACAGCACTAGCGAGATTTACCGTTAATGACGAGTGTCTCCTATACATGTTGACACGCGAAAATATGTTCGAATTTTCCATGCAGAAGTTTCTCGAATACAATAAACTATTGCTGCTTGGTGTCAATTCCGAATCATCTGGTTTGGATACCCTAATGTGTTCTCTATTGTATACAATTTTCTGGTCAATTAGTTTTCAAACGAATTATCATGTAAAACTGAAAGCGAATACAGAATTTGTTGGATTCATACAGCAAACTGCTAAGATAAATTCAAATGATAAATACGTCGCGAGTATAAGAAAATCTGCCAATGGGATTCTGTTTAATCTTGATCTAGTTCAACAATCTTTCATATCTAGTAAACCAGACATTGATGATCATATTGATGGCGTGAAAATCATGATATCGTATTCACATAAAGATACTACATTTTGTCGACAGCTAGTCAACACTCTGAAAGATCAAGTACAAGGAGATTTGTGGGTGGATTTCATCAAACTAGAGCCACCATACGAAGACGATTGGGAAGAAATTGCCGAAGCGATTAGTAACTGTAACGTAGTAGCGATGATTGTTACCGCAGATTATTGCAGCTCGAAAAGTTGTCGTCGAGAGGTGATTCATGCTGATAAACGCAATAAACCAATGATACCTATTTATCAGGGTCCAGAGTACCAACCAGATGATTGGTTTGAAATTCGAGCTGGTTCAGCAACTTGGGTACGTTTCGGTTCTAAGAACAGCGATGAAGAAGTAATGCAAACTCTTGTGAAACTAATTAATTCTCACAAAAAAGCAAAAAAGAGTTCTGATGCAGCTACAGTCTCTCAAAAACCATATCTTGAAAGTAATCACACTGTTCCACCGATTATGATTTTGCCTCAAACTATTGACGTCCTCTCGCCGTTATCGCCAGATGCTGTTCAACTGCTCCATCATCCCACCTCAAACCTCACGACTTCGTCACCAGTATCAACTCCTAGAAAACCAATTGAACAATGGACTAGTGAAGAAGTCCATCAATGGCTCTGCCTACCTCCATCAATTCTGCAGTTTTCAAGTGGTCGTGCTTTACTTGCCTACACTCGATTAATATCAGACGAGGATGCAGAACGTGATGAGTATGAACGAAGTCTAAAACAACGTGGTCTGACACGTGAACAATGGGCAAATCTGATTTCCTCTCTTAAGACTCTCTGTATGCTACACATCATGGAAACGGCGTCATCGAAAACTCTGCCTGAGCAATGGTCAAGTAACGAAGTGAAGTGTTGGTTTGAACAAAACAACCTATCTAACTATCTACTAGATACATTCGCCTTCGTCGATGGAATGGAGCTTGTCATTTACGCTAAAATGATGACCACCTCACTATTGCGTATCGATTCAGAATACGATCGATTACGAAATCGAATTCAGGCTCGGTACAATGGGCAAGATCTACTTCAATTAGATGAATACGTTCGACTCGTGAGAGCACTCAAAAAGATTGTCGAACAATCACAACTGTAATTTGAACTGAATCATGATACTGTTAGCGTCAACAGGTATTACGTAGTTGCCGCTAACTTTTCTTTCTTTTCGTTCTCCTTTACGTAACCTATGTGAGGTTCGATATTTCCCGGACATATGTATATATGTCCATATTATTATTATTATTATTATTATTACTTTTCTTTTTTTCTTTCTCTCTCTCTCTCGTCTAGTTATATGAGCAAGTATGCCCCATCAGTTCAGTTGTGTTTTTTGTGTTATCTGCGTAACATGTTTTCTTTGAATAAAATACTTATCCCTCATCTGAACCTATATTACCCTCCCCATTACATTAACCTACAAGACAAGGTAAGACTACTAACTCTACTAACCCAACTATTACAGATCATAGTTTTCGATTGATTCCTTCCGGCCCATTAGCATTTAGTGGGTAGGAAATTTGGATGAAAGAGAAAGCTAACATTTTTGGTGGAGAAGTTGCACATAATTTATTTGATCTGTATTAGCTCCACTAAATATATATACACACCTCTATTTATATATAAACAAAAATTCCTTTCCCTTATATTCAGTTAACTTAACAACTCATATCATTATTTCAATCGAGCTATATTCATATTTTGGGTATTTTTCTATCATCTAACCCCTTCCGTATATACAAGGATATATAAGACGTCCTTGTTGAACATATCGACTAATTCATATATCATATCGTCTCATATTTAAACAAAGATATAAAAATGTCTGATTCTGAATCGACAAAAGAATCAGCACGTCCAGTAACGATCGATGAGAAATCTTTAATTGAATTAACTGAAAATAATACAATCTCTGACAATATTGTAACTGATAAAAAACGTCGACAAACTATCATACCTCTTTCCCATCAACCTAAACTAATTGATGCAGCAAAGGGCTCTGACTTTGAATCGAATAACGGTGATAATGAGGATGAATTGGAATTCGATTCATTGATTCTTAATAATTTTAACCCATTTTCAGGATCAGAAAATGTAGTCGATTGGTTAGTTAACACAGATAAAAAATTTAATTTACATAAAATCTCACGTAATCTTCGTCATTTAGCTATACTTTTACTTATTGAAGGAGATGCTAAAATAAAATATTTTCGAAAAAAAAATAACATAAAATCATACGACGACTTTTATGAATTTCTTTTGATTAATTATGATGTAACTGAACCTAATACACGTCGTTTTCAACCTAATCCATCATCATATTCATCAAATCAAAATAATTTTACACATAATTCCATAACACATAAAAATATATCCTTTGAAGATCAACAAAAAACTACCACGAATAATTTTGATCTAACTGATAATTTACCTCCCCGTCCTATCTTAAGATCAACCGCAATTGTTGATATGGGTGCCACCAGACTAACTGATGATGAAACCGAAAATCAATCAACCATTGCACCACCTTCTAACATCTCCTATCACTCTTGTAACCTTGATCAAACAACATATGTAATTCATAAAGCAATTATAGATAATTTAATTAAAAATCCTAAAATGTTCCAAGAAGGAAAAGAATATGTAAAGCAATGGCTAGAGGCCATTGAGCAACTTTTCGATTCTGCGCAAATACCCGATAGTCATAAATTAGATTTAATTCCCTATTCCTTACGAGAAGACGCTCGCCGATGCTACAAGAATACCAAAGCCACATTAACATCGTGGCCAGTATTTGTACAGGAACTGAAGCGAGCATTTCTCTTCCCCTTCCATGATGAGTTAGCCTTTAAAAAACTTGAATCCTATACACAAGGAATCAACCAACCTGTGAGAAGTTTCTATAACGAAGGTTTAAAATTATGTGCCGAAACAGATCCCGAAATGAGTGAGTCAATGAAACTTCGCCACCAAAAATGTTAGCTTTCTCTTTCATCCAAATTTCCTACCCACTAAAATTAATAGGCCGGAAGGAATCAATCGAAAACTATGATCTGTAATAGCTGGATTAGTAGAGTTAGTACTCTTACCTTGTCTTGTAGGTTGATGTAATGGGGAGGGTAATATAGGTTCAGATGAGGGATAAGTATTTTATTCAAAGAAAACGTGTTACGCAGATAACACAAAAAACACAACTGAACTGATGGGGCATACTTGCTCATATAACTAGACGAGAGAGAGAGAGAAAGAAAAAAAGAAAAGTAATAATAATAATAATAATATGGACATATATACATATGTCCAGGAAATATCGAACCTCACATAGGTTACGTAAAGGAGAACGAAAAGAAAGAAAAGTTAGCGGCAACTATGTAATACCTATTGACGCTAACAGATACTAAATTCTCTGATGTCTCATGAACTTTATTTGGTAAAGCTCCTCATTATGTAACTAAAAAACTCCTTCCTACATTGCTATTGCTTAACGATCTACTCTTCGTGCCCCTGGTTTCCTAAGTGAATGTCTTCAAAGTACAATTCTCTATTGTTACCCTTGTAGAACTCTAATGGTATTTTCAACTGATTTCTTCTATAAAATTTAACATGTTCTTCGCAAAATTTTCCATTGGAGCATTTCGCTCATGCCAGCCAATAAACGAAGCGTTTACTTATTTCGTCCTCGATAGACTAAGACAATATTTTCGAACTTCTCCTGTTCGTTTCATAAGCGAAATAGAAGCTGTACTGAAATGAGATTATCCTACACTCTAAAAACAAACGTTTTCTCGGAATTCTATAGAAGGTTTCCGGGTTTGTCACTATATGAAACCCTTTATAGGTTTCCGAGAAAGGGTTTCCGAGAAAGGGTTTCCGAGCTCTCGGAAATCTTCAAAGGCAATGAAAAAACCTCAGGATCCCGCAAACCCAGTAGAGGTTTTCGAGACTTCCCAAACTTTATATAGGTTTCCGACAGCTAGCCACAAAACGATCCACTAATCTACATCGGTGCCTTTATTCTAACCGGTTATTCTATTTCCTCATTCTAACCCGTAATCTAACTCTTTAATCCATATCTAACCCATTATTCCGTCCCCTTAATCTAACCCCATATTCTAAGCCCTAATCTAAGCCCTTAATCTAACCTCTCATTCTATCCTGTTAATGTAACCCTTTATTCTAACCCCTTATCTAAACCCTTAATCTATATCTAACCGTTGTTCTATGCCCTTATTGTAAGCCATCATCCCATTACCTTATTCTAACTCCTAAGTCTATATCTATCTTCTTATTGCAACGCCTGTATCTATCTCCATTTTCTAAACCCTCAAGCTAACCCTGTAGTCTATCCTCTTTTTTGGTAACCCTTTATTCTAACCCCTTATTCTATCCTTTAAATGTATCATTTTACTCTGACTCATTAATCGATATCTGTCCCCTGATTCTAGCCCTGTAATGTAAGCGCTGTATGTTGTTTTGAGTTGTATATTGGTGAACATATGCCCGTAGTATAAAGTAGAGAAGGAAAGCTCCTTAGTGTAACCTAATGAATTTCGTCAAAGTCCTTCAGTGTTCATTTCTTTGAAAGCGAGTACTATGAAACTGATGATTGTGTCCTAGTGTATATGACGGGTGATTCCATATTCATATTGTCCGCTGTAGTCCTAAAATTTTGAAAACTCTCCAGGAGCTAGGCATGACGTCAATCAAAGTGCTGAATCTTTTGAAAGGCAGAGACATGAATTTAATGAGATCACTTAGGTGTACTCGATTTTCAAATTCACGGTGATGAAGTCAGTGAAATTGGTGGAAATTGGAAACCTCCTAAATAAAATGTCATTCATTTAGTCTGAGTTCTGGAGTCTTCATGTCTTTTAAAACAGTCATGGTGCTGTCAGTGTTATTGCTATAGTCTTCATGTCTCCCTCCGAAAGACTGCGTGAGAAGTTAGTGTTAGTCATGTTGTCTTTGTGTATTTGAGAATCATAATCGCGAAGTCAGCCTTCGTCATCGAGCCTTTATGTTTTTCTTGAGCAAGAGTCGTAAAGTCAGTCTTGTGTGTTGGAGTCTTGACATCTCTGAAAGCTGTCGTCATCAAGTCAGTTAAACTTTTCAAGTGTTTATGTCTCTCAAAGCCATTGCGATGAAGTTAGTGGAAGTCATGAGGTCTTAAATCTTGTCGAACTCCGAGTCATAAAGTCAAGTGGAGTCTTATAGAGATGAAAGCTTTTTTGCATTGAAGTCAAAATTTTTAAGGCAGTCTGACTTCTGGTTTCCGTGTTGCTGCCAAAGGCAGAGTGTTGATGTCATTTGGAGCATTGGGGTCTTTAGTTTTGTTAACAGTGAACTGTAGTTTTCGTGTTCGATTTTTTTTGAATCTTTAACCGGATCAGTTGAGGAAACTACATCTTGCGGTGTGAAGAAAAATATATATCTACCATTTTTCTCAGAAAGCTTCCAAGATATTTGACTTTGTTTATGTCTTCGAACAGACGATTCATGGAAACGTGAACTTATTTCTGAAACGATGCGTCATGGCATTCTCTACAATAGGTGAATGCAGAAATGTTTGTGGCTTGTGCTAATAGATTTGAAGAGAGCTAAAAGCAAAGGTGTATGAGTGTCTATAGTGTCTCACTGTCCAGAATTTGGTTTTTTCTTTAGCCCAAACAACAATCACATTTCGCAGAGTTTTCATTTTTCCGACTATTTTCGAACTCAAGATGCTCACTTGATCGAGATGATGGTATTCAGAAATCAGTTTTTGTACATATGATTTGATTTAGATAATAAATGTATTTTTTTACAGCACTTAAATCGATATCAAAGTGAGAAACTACAACATCTGATACATCTTTTCCTTTATGTTACTCCAAATCTTTTGACACAAGCGAAGAGGATGTTTTATTTTGACTGCCGTACAGAATATCAAGACATGTTTTGAAAAAATTTAAGATTTTATCATTTACGTTTGTGGAGATACATGAAGAATAAATTATGCTGCAAACATTTCGAGACATCTGGTATTTGTTTTCCATTCTCTTGCAAATGAAGATTTCTTCGTGTTTTTCATAGTTCCTCTCCTATAAATCTTCTGTATAAGTCAGTCGAAAAGATCCTCAAACGGCTGAAACTTGCACTTTATTCCGTTGCAATCTGTTGCCAAGGATGATAATGCTTGTACTTGGATGAAACATAAATGAATGAAGAAGGAGAAAGACGGTATTCTTTGAATGACCTGGCGATTTAATGCAAGTCTGCGATCCTCACAGTAAAATTTATCATAATCCATTCAAGTTTTTAGGTACTGAAAGATGTAAAAACAAGTTGAAATTCCCTCAGGAACAATGTATTGTTTTTGAATTCTCAGAGTTCCAATGATTTTACACAACAATTCCACATAAATTGAATAAGGTTTATATCATGCATGTTGAGCAATTCCTAAACCTCTAAAATAACGATGGAAACATGAGAATCAAAAAGAAGACAACCGAATGCTATTTCGGTGTTTGAGAATACTGGATGGGTTTCCCAAGCTTTTTTCGGAAACGCTTTCATTATTTCCGGTGCTTGGAAACCCAAAAAGGTTTTCGACAAGGTTTTTAAATTAAAAGCGGTTTTCGCAGAAACCTTTCGGTTTTCGAAAATAAAACCCGGGTTTCTGAGAATACGATTGATAGTTTCCGGACCTATATTTCGAAAGCCCATAGGTTTCCAGATGCTCGGAAACCCTGAAGGTATTTTCAGAAACTTAACATGAGTCCGGAAACCTTTCCGGATACGTTCATGGGTTTCCGAAAGGGGTTTCGGTTTCTGAGAAAACGTTTGTTTTAGAGTTTAGAAGTCTCCATGTAAGAAATAAGATTTGGAGATGAGAGCCGAATAAATAAATTCTTGAGATGCAACAAAGATACAGTCCAAAGTACAAATGAATATGATTGACTATATATTGTGACTTTTATTTAATCAAGATGTAAACTTCTAAAAGCTGCTAAAAATAAAAATAGATATTAAAAACAAAAACTTGTCCTTGAAAATGTCCTAAGTCATCGTTACATAGTGAGTCAATGGATGACAATAACAAAATTAATGTTTTCAACAATAGCACAAGCATATTGAAATGCTTGCATTGCAAAAGCAATATCATGCTGTCTTTACAATTCATTTTCTTGAAGAAAAACCAAGTACTTCGGTAAGGGTTGGAGCAATATCGAATTTCCATTTATCGAAGGATCACACCATATGCTTCTTAACTTTCAGTGAATACGAAAAACATTATCTCCTCATTAAATATAAAGATGGATATCGTCGCTATTCTATTTCATTTCAATGCAAGCGATGGTTTCAATAGTGATTCGTTGTTTTGTATTCATTCTATTCAGGTAACTGTAAAATTCATTTTTCTCCTATTCATCTAAAGTTGAGCAATCTTTCTTTTAAGTCTCACAGGTTTGAATCTTGTTTCGTTTTACATGTTGTGCTATTAATTTACCATATCGCTAGTTCGAGTAAAATCTCAATTCTGTCATGGAATGTCTCAATATGATCGGTGTTCGCCAAATAGTGCATGTGCTTGTTTCTATATAGCAGGTGCTATTAACATTGGCATTTGTGGTGATGAATTCGTGGATTGTTCTGAGCTAGCTACATGCGAAAGCCCAAACAATCGTTGTCGTGAGTCTAGCCATAGATGTATTCATCATCCCCGATGTCATAGTCTTCCTGTTTGTTATCCGGTGCCAAGTTTCAATCGACAACTGTGCCCACCGATATCAAGTAAGAGAACTAACAGTGATCTACAGATTCAAGTGGAATTTGAGTGTGAGTGTGGAGTGAGAATAGATCATTTGCAATACTTTTGTTGACTAGTTTTACTTTTGGGAACATCGGTTCCTCATTCAGGACATGAAATATGCTCATCCACATCCAAGTACACATGCAGCTCAAATTTTTCACCGAAAACCCGTATAAAAAATGGTGCCCTTCGAAAGAGAATGAAATTCTGCATCTAACACAACCAGTTAGAGATCCAACGTAGGTCAGTAAGCAAATCGGGACTAGAGGTGTATCAAACATCTGAAATTTCTTTCTTGAGAGAAGAATTTAAACATTCACACTGTCCGAAGTCGAGAGAGAGAGCTCATAACAATTTATGTGAGAGTTTAACAAAATATGACAGAATTGATGAATATGAACAGGACGGTCTTGTTAGCTTGTGTTCAATTCAACTCGATTCGATGTGGTTCGACGCAGCCGAATCACATCGAATAGAATCATCGGACATATTGCTCAGTTTTGGGGTCTCTGATTAGCACAGGTTTTCTATCGAAAATCAGTTTTGAAACAAAAACAAATCATTTTTCAGACCATTTGAGACCATCGCTCAACTTTGAAACACCTTTTAGGCTTCACCTAAAACTTAAG